GGCAGTTTGGATGCTCACCTGACTAGACCTGGAAGGAGGTGGGTGGTCCTTGGACTTCCCACAGGGCAGGGAACCCTGATTGCTCTTTGGGCTGACAAGGGAGGGGGACTTGATTGGGGGAGGGGGAGGGAAATGGGAGGCGGCGGTGGGGAAGAGACAGAAATCTTTAATAAGTAAAAAAATATATTTTGTCTTTCAAGACAAATATAAAATAAAACATTTGTCTTGAAAGATGGGCCTGATTCCATGGGTGAGTGATGATAAGGAAATGAAAGGAGCATTCCCTTAAATAAATGTGTAGGAACAAAGTATTAGAGCATTAACATTTGAGAGAAGAGCGGGCAGCTTGCGAGAGGAGTGACGGGAGAGAGTGGAGACAACGGATGTGACAGACCCACAGGAAGAAAAGGTGTAAAATTTGGTGGCCATTGCTTTACTTGACTGGATTACCAGACAGAGATTTCAATCATACTTACTTGTATGTTGAGGTCCAAATCAAATGATACAGCCCATACCTTCAAGAACATTGTCTAGTCTTAATAGGTATCATTTTATTAATACCAGAAACATTATAATCAGCACAATTCTTGTATTGATTCTTTGGTAATTTTACATCATGCATCCCAATCCTACTCAGTTCCCAGTCCTTCCATGTCTGCCCTCGACCCTTGCAGCCCCACAACAAATAAAAAATAAAAATAATGTAAAAAACATTTTGATCTTCCTTCTTTCCCACCTCTCCACCACTTATTCATTTCTTATTGTGGCCTTGGGAGCTGCAATGTGTCATGAAGCATATCCTCTTGCCCATACATCTTTACTGCAAATGTTCATTGCAATGAGTTGTTGGTCGGTTCAAGATCTCTGTCTTCTGGCACACGATCAATACAGTACACTCACCAGCACTTCTCTTGGATATCCTTCTGTTGCCCAGGTTGTCTGCCAGAAATATTTTATTCTCTTTTGCTTTCAGTGATTTACCTGTGATGCTGATATTGTACCTGGGACATTGTGAAAGATAATATAATAATGCAAAAAAAATGCTTCGTATATATATATATATGTACATATATATATACTATAATACTTAAATATGTATCATATACTATAAGATTTCATGTCTATAAAATATTATAAATATCATTTATATACATATATTTATGAATATGTATATTTATATTGTTACTAATTTAGAGGCAATGGGACCTAGGAGAATAGAGACGATAAATGAGGTGAACTAAAGCCTCGCAAAATATCAAACTTTAATCAGAGCCATAGATAACTTATATACCAAAGTTTAAGAAAGGTCACATGACTAAATGTCTCATAAGTTTAAGCTGAATACATTCACAAGGACAAGCAACACATGGGGGAAATAAAACATGCTTTTCCATAGAGGCTTATAAAGAATAGCTTAAACATTCAATTGAATAACAACACAAGCAATAATGATGAATCTGAAGTAAACTCACTCCTATCCACTACTCCTGGGAGGAGCATGAAGACATATTCCAGAAACAATTCCATGTTTGTTTGGTTTTTTTTTTTTTTAATTTTTGAGACAGGGTTTCTCCGTAGCTTTTGGTTCCTGTCCTGGAACTAGCTCTTGTAGACCAGGCTGGCCTCAAACTCACAGAGATCCGCCTGCCTCTGCCTCCCGAGTGCTGGGATTAAAAGCGTGCACCACACCGCCCGGCAGTGTTTT